GTCGTACGACTTTACTCAATTCATTATTTCCAACATTTGTTTTGGTAAAATGTTTAGGATTTTCTATATATAATGCTTTGTCATTTGCAAGTAGTGACAGTTTTTCTTCCTCCTTTCTGATCTGAGTGATTTGTACTTCTTCTCTTGCCTACTTGCTCTAACTAGGACTTTCAATACTATATTGAATAAAAGTGGCAAGAGTGAGCATCCTTAACTTGTTCCTGTTCTTACAGGGGAAGTTGTCAGTTTTTTAGCACTGAATATGATGTTCACTATGGGCTTGCTTTGTGGCGTTTATTATGTTGAGGTACATTCCCTCTATATCCATTTCATTGAGAGCTTTTATCATGAAAGTATGTGAATTTTGTCAAATGCTTTTTCTACATCTATTGAGTTGATTATATCACTTTAATTTTCTTTCGTTAATGTGTGGTATCACACTGATTTGCAGATATTGAGCCATCGTTGCACCCCTGGAATAAACCCCCACTTGATCGTGGTATATGATCCTTTTAATGTATTGTTGAGTTCAGTTTCCTAAGATTTTGTTAAGGACTTTTACATCTATGTTCATCAGGGATATGTACTTTCATCTTCTTGGGGTGTCCTTGTCTGGTTTTGATATTAGGTTAGTGCTACTGCTAAGTCACTTCAGTCCTGTCTGACTCTTTGCGACCCCATGGACTGTAGCCTGCCAGGCTCCTCTGCCCATGGGATTCTCCAGGCAAGCATACTGGAGTGGGTTGCCATTTCCTTCTCCAGAGGGGATCTTCCAACCCAGGAATTGAACCCAGGTGTCCTGCATTGTAGGCAGGTTCTTTATCAACTGAGCTACCAGGGAAGCCTATTAGGGTAATACTGACCTTGTAAAAATGAATTTGAAAGTGCTTCCTCTATTTTTGTTTTTTTATGGAAGAGTTTGAGAAGGATTGGTATTTATTCTTCAGATGTTGATGTAGTTCACCACTGAAGCCATCCAGTCCTGGACTTTTTTGTTCATTGAGAGGTTTTTGATTACTGATTCCATCTCTTTATTAGTGATTGGCCTGTTCAAATTTTCTATTTCTTCCTGATTTAGCCTTGTTAGATTGTGCGTTTCTAGTAAGGTAACTGTTTCTTCTAGATTGTCTGTTTCACTAAGATCTGCTTCTGGGAATTTGTCTTGTTCTTTTGTTTGGAACATATTGTTTCTTCATTTTCCTTGACTCCCTGTGTAAATTTCTGTGCATTAGATAAAACTAGCCACCTACGCTAGTCTTGAAAGACAGATCTTGTATAGGAGATGAACTCATCAATTAGCATAGCCTTTGCTTCTCGTTGTCTCTGAAATGTTTGTAACTGTCTAACCACCCTGTTCTTAGTGGCTCCCAGTGGTCAAATATGTGCCAAGACTCAGTGTCCCAAGCAGAGGGTCACAGTCATCTTCTGGATGAAGGCCATTTGGAAGTTGGACTTGCAGGCAGCAGCTGGGAAAATATGTCATTAGACCCTATCCAGGGAGAAACTGGGAGGTAGGCATTTCACCTGCTCCCTCTGTACTGGACCCAGTTATTAATATATAGCCACGGAGTGGGGGCAGGGGGCTGCGGGGTCCTTAACCCATTAAGATCTTTCTTTGCTATAGTCCTGTAGGACTCCTGAATGCAAGCCCTGTTGGCTGTCAGAGCCAGGTGATCCAGGGGTTTTCTCCCAAGCAGCAGCCTCAAAAGCTGGGCCACCAGATATGTACAAAAACCTGAGAAGGCTACTGGCAAGTTGGAGCAGGCCAGAGGGACAGGGCAGGAGACATGTCCACTGGCTCCTGTGGCCTCAGGAGAGAACCGCAGTCACTCTCCAGATGCGTCTAAGTTAGAGGCCTGACCTGCAGGCAGCAGCTTGTGAAGTTGGCAAGTAGAATCCTTCCAGGAAAAGATAGGGAGATGGGCATTTCTACAGCCCAGGGCTCACACCCACTAACACCTGCTTCCCTGTCGGCTATAGTATGTGGGTCTCATGGACGCAAGCCTCACGGCTTTCAGGACTCAGTGTTTGGGGGGCCTGTCCCTCTGGGAATTAAAAATTGGGGTGCTAAATGTGGGGTTCAAACTCAGTCTCTCAGGGAGAAGCTAGGAGTTTGAGGTCCCTCCTGGCTGTCTGGCACTGTGCTAGGAGTGGGGTTTATGGTGACTGCGTCTCAGCCTCTCCTGCTGTTTTGATGTGAGCGTTGTCTCTTTTTGGATTTCCTCCAGAGGGGATTTCTGCATGCGTAGCTGCTCATGTGGTGCATCTGTGGGAGGAGAGCAGTTAGGAGCCTCCTATGAGGCCATATTTAAAGGCCACACCTACCCACGCTTATAAAAGGTAAACCTTAGTGCGTTTTGCTTTTTATAAATGTCAATGAATGACAGCTATGAATTAGTACATTGCTGTAGAATTCCGTGCTGGTTTGATTAACTTAAGAGTATTTTTGATTGATGTTCCAGTTATTAAGCCACTGATGTGGTAAGAGAAGAAAACTCAAGCTACTTTTAAATGTTTATTAACTTAAGTTTATTCTATAAACATTTACTGGAGTGCCCGCTCTGTTCTAGGTACTTGGGATACAAGTATCCAACCATGTGGAAGCTCTAGTCTCCTAAGTAATGGACTACAAAAATAATACATACATACATACATAAAAATAAGATAAGAGCACTCATAACTTCTAAAATATTAACCTGGGAAATATCTAGATGTACTTACAGCAAAACTCCAGCGGATGACTGTAACCCAAGCAGAAGCATTTTTGTGGCTGACTCATCAGTGACATTTGTTTGCTCACTTATGACTTCATTTCACTGAATTCTGACTTTCTGATCTGAATTACAATAAGGGTGTTAAATCTTTGGTTACTTTTGCATATTTTGTGACTTAAAATCTTTAGATTAGGATTCACTGTGTACATAGTTTTTGAAACTGTCTCAGACCTACAGGGTTTCTCTTACTTTCTCTAGGTTTTGTCTAATGAACTAAAAGCATACTTTTGTGCTGTAGTGTAACCGCTCTATAGCTAATTTTTTTAAAACTGATACAATATGTGTTTTCTGTGTTTCACTTTTTTTATCTAGAATATCTAACAGATATTGGTGTTACAAGGATTAAAATAATATGACATTTGTAAAACATCTAAAACTAAAGAAAGTAAATTTACTGCACAAAGTAAATTTCAAGTCTGTTTTCTGCACCCGCACTAGTCATTTATTTATTTCAACTATTTCTAATATTTTAGCATAGTGAGTAGGGTATTGTGTCTTTTTATTTGTACACTTGTGAGGAAGTAGTACCACAATGAGAAATAGAAGCAAAATATATATCCAGCAGGGCCTTATAAGGAATGTTTCTTTGTCTGTAAACCACTTGTCTCAGAAGTAAATCCCTCCGAATGATGAAAACCAAGAGATGTTTTCACACTTAACTCTTCTTTAAGTTTTTTCCTGATTTCAAAATATGTTTTCATTGTTATCAAACTCCAAGATTACTGAAATCAATAACTTCGAAAGTGAGAAGTCCTTTATCCACATTCTCATCCCACCTCTCTACCCATACAGAGACTTAATATTCTATGTATATCCTCACGTTTTTCCCAGTTGTATAATGTATTTTTTATTAAGTAAGACTACACTGTACATTCTGCTTTGCAACTGACTTCTAGTCACTTAATGTGCTTGGTGTTTGTGTTAACATATTTAGTTTCCCCTCGTCTCCAACAGCTACAGAGAGAAAGAAAAGGACAAGTCTGTGGCTGGCTGTGCGCCCGACCACAAGCTCACTCAGCCTACAGACCTAATGGTAGAAATGCCTTCCGCTGACCTATTTGCCAACCTCCAACCCTCTCTCCAACCCTGACCCAAAAGGGCACCAGGAGAGTGACTCGAAAGATCCTCACAGTCCACACGCGGGGACAGACCTTGCTGTGAGCATGAAGGACTGGGCTGAACGAAAAATCCACATTCACTCAGCCGTTAACCCAGAGGGCCTCAGAAACATAGTAAACGCTGCAGCCCAGGGGGTCTGAGTGTTGCTGCCTTGCACGCCCACCTGGAGCAGGAAGGACAGTTTATTGAGGATGAGCAGCTCAAGCTGACTTCCTGTAAAATCGCCATGGGAGGCTATTCATCCCACTTCACTCCTCCCACTTCAAAGCTACTTTCTATCACTCCGATATTTACCCTTGGAGCGATTAAGCCCTCCTTTATCTTTTCTGTGCTTTCCTTAGCTGCTCTTTTTAGCAGGTATGATTTAAGCCAAATGTCAATATGTCAGACATTAAATATCCATTCCCATGCACAGTGTGTACAATTACCTCCTCTATTATAACAAACGGAATGTCAATTAACTTGTGTGCTGAACTTACACAAAACCGGACTGAAAGCAGTTTATAAAGGCCTCTACCCAGGGTGCTTGAAGCATTTAGTTTAGTTGAGGCCTTTCTTTCAGTCTGCAAAGCTGCAGACACAACAGAAGTGAAATTTTTGTAGGAAGGAGTGACAAGCTTTGGGGGCAAGAAAAGAGGAAACACGATTGTGCGAAGCAGCACTTTCATAGCTGGACAGGCTATGATGCCTCTACGGCATCATCGGGGAAGCTTCGGGGCTGGGGCTCCTGCAGACTGGACCCCCACCCCCCACCTCCAACCGTGACGCCAGGGCTGCAGTGGGGGGTGTCCCCAGCCCTAAGCCCCCCAGAGCACCAGACCTTCCGAAGGCCACGTCCAGTTCTTCGAAGGTTAAACAGGAAGTGGTCCAAACTGGATGGCTAAAGCAGAGATGGCCGAGGGGTAAGAACGAGGCAGCAGAAGGCGCAATCCTCCACCTTCCGCTCCTCGGCCATCACAGAGTCCACGTGGTGGGCGCCAGCCTGGAGCTCAAGTTCTGCTCCCGGGGCCCCAAATAGGTCCAACGTGATGCGTTCTGAAAGCCTCTTTGGGAAACGAAAACCTCCTGGCCCTGCGACTTACGGCTGCTTCAACCTGTTTCTTTCAGATACCATCGTCCTCATCGCCTCCATAGCGGTCGTGTCTGCCAAAACTCAGGGTAACATCTTCGCCACGTCGGCACTGCGCAGCCTGCGCTTCCTGCAGATCCTCCGCATGGTGCGCATGGACCGGCGCGGCGGAACCTGGAAGCTGCTAGGCTCCGTGGTCTACGCGCACAGCAAGGTGAGCTAGCGCCTCCGCGCCCCGCGGCGCCAACCTCTTCGAAAGCAGACTTGGGCTTTGCAGAAACTGGCTACAGCCAGGCGAGGACACAGTGTGGATTATGTAAAAGTCACCATAAATATCCAAGCAGTAGTCGAACACATGAAATCATGCTCAGATTTTGATTTTGTTCCCGTTTCAAGTATTTTTCACCTCTAAAAAATCTCTCATTCTTTTTATATCTAGGAATTAATCACAGCTTGGTACATAGGATTTTTGGTTCTGATTTTTTCATCTTTCCTTGTCTATCTGGTGGAAAAGGATGCTAATAAGGAGTTTTCTACATACGCGGATGCTCTCTGGTGGGGCACGGTGAGTGCAAAAATCTGGTTTTATTTATGGGATGTTGCGAGATGTTTCCTTTGAATACAGTGCAGTGATTCCCATGAGTGGTCTCAGGAAAACTATGAATGAACTTCCAAAAGGGAAGTTTTGTGCAAATACACAGCACATATAATTATCTGAAGAGTTGCCTCGTCTGTTTAGGTCTAACAAAGTTCTCTTACAAATCAACCTACTGCTTTTTGTGTGCCAGTCTGTTGCAAAATAAAAACGGATAATGTTTTAACCTTGATTAAAATGTTCCCGGGCTCACTTATTTGTTTTAACTTTGTGGAGCACAGCTTTGAAGTACAAATTCTTGTGTTGTTTGTCACTCATCAGAAAGTTTATCTGAGGCTTTAAAAAAAAAGAAATAGTAGCTGAACAAAAGCTATGAGTAAAATTGTGGTACAAAAAGGGAAAGAGAAAAGACTGGTAACCATCTGTGAGATCAAAGATTACAGGCACTGTGTTTCAATTTTTTCTACTCTTTTTCCTTTATATTGTTGTTAAAGGATAGTTTTCCAAACAAGTAAAAGTTAAAACGTGACTCTCGTACACATAGAAAATAAAGCACGTGTAAATATTTTAAGTTATTATCAGTGAAGGAACTAGGAAGATGTTACAGCCAGTTCAGAGGACTATCCTAAGAACAGACGTGTATGAAGATTAGGAGTGTTGAATGTGCAGAGGCAAACCTGGCTTCCTCCACAGTGAAAGCAGGAAGTCAGAGGAACCCCCACCAGACAGGATTTACTTACACATCAATAGACAAGAATTATTTTGCATTCCGGATGCAACTTACACAATCATAAAATAGCTCAAAGGCCATGAAAGGTGCAGAGCCTGCCCCCATAAAATCAGAAATCGATAACCTAGAGGAATGTACTCTAAACAACACATGGTTTTCCACTGAAGCAAAAATTGTCTTTCTATTGTAAAGTATTTATTGAACAGTCATTGAATTGTGTACCTAATAAGAATGTTTTAGGATAAAGGAATGCTTTATACAATGTGTAAGCTACATTTCTTTTTATTTTGTTCCTTAATATGTTCCAAAAGGGTGAAAATACAACAGCAGTTAGAGGTGCCTGAAGAGTCTCTTTGGTCCAGCGAATTTGTTCTCTTATAAATCATTGGTAATATTTCTTGAGCGTTAGATTGTTGCCAGAATAAAAATGCATCATCTTCTTAAACCATGATTGAAGCATTAGTAAGTTTGTTTGCCAGTTTGCCTTGTGGAGCTCACTGCTGCACTGTTCCACTATTTGTCAGCAGCTCATCAGTGAGTGTTCCTGCCTGGAGAATCCCAGGGACGGCGGAGCCTGGTGGGCTGCCGTCTGTGGGGTCGCACAGAGTCGGACACGACTGAAGTGACTTAGCAGCAGCAGCAGCATCAGTGAGAATAAGAGCTGTCATCAAAGATGAGGATAACTCATCAGGGCTTGAAGTAGAACCTGGTTTAGCATAGCAGCAATACAATGAATAAGAATCAGAAGTATAATCGTTTGAAGATGAAGATTCTTTTTCCTTAGATTGTCAGAGCTAAATGTCTACAAGATTGTGCCACTGATAACAAAGCATCCTGTTGGTTTCATAATTTGGTTTCCAACTCCTTGCCCTCCCCCACAAGCAATAATGACCACTTTGAAAGAAGGAAAGTGGAAAACCCAAAAGAGAGCTGTCATCTGACATGCCTAAAATACTTTTTATGTGTTGGGAACAAACGAGAATGTATGACTCATAGTAGGAATAAACTGAGTAAACTGAGCAAAAAGGAGGTTTTTCTAGCCAGCAAGGAGAAGACAGCAATTTGAATTTTAGCTTTTGCATCGCTGTGAAGATCCTAATGTGGCTGAATGACTGAGACCCTTGGGCGCCCTTTTGTACTGAGGTGCAGCTGCTGGTGCATCCACCTGGCACCTCTCTATCCTTCCTTCCATCCACCTTCCTTTCTCCTTCCTACTGCTCTCCTTCCTACTAATCTCCTTCTTACTGCATTGTGTGTTGAGCGTGTGTGGGAAACTCTCAATGTACTTACTCACCAGCTTGTTTCTTCGCCAGAATAACCCATGTAGCAGGTTTTCAAAGTTCATCTCTGTGCCTTTCAGGGAAAAGCATTATCTATTCATTGATTTCATTGCAGGAATGCTATTCAACTGAAGCTTAACATGTACTTAACGCTTCCCTGATAGCTCAGTTGGTAAAGAATCTGCCTGCAATGCAGGAGACCCTGGTTCGATCCCTGGGTTGGGAGGATTCCCCTGGAGAAGGGAAAGGCTACCCACTCCAGTATTCTGCCCTGGAGAATTCCACTGACTGTATGGTCCACAGAGTCACAAAGAGTCAGACGCAACTGAGCGACTTCACTTCACTAACCTGTACTTAACGGAATCTTTGAATGGCCTAATTATATTTTGTTTTTTTAACAACAACAACAAAAAATCAAGTCCTGAATACAGAAGCAAATATTTTATAAAATATTGAGCTTCCAGTAATAAAAAAGGCCTTATTGGTCCACAGTGATATTGTTGATATTAACTAACTCATTAATGAAATTGTCTGAAGCTATAAAAAGCAAACAAGAGAACTTACTGGTTCTATCCTTATAAGAAGAAGATATACTAGGTCACCGATGTGAAGTAAAACAAATATAGAATATTCCACTGTGCTTAGTCGCACAACTTAGTCCAACTCTTTGCAACCCCATGGACTGTAACCCACTGGGCTCCATGGATCCTCCAAGCAAGAATACTATAATGGGTTACCATGCCCTCCTCCAGAGGATCTTCCCAACCCAGGGATTAAACCCAGGCCTCCCGCATTGCAGGCGGATTCTTTACCAGCTGAGCTACCAGGGAAGCCCAAGAATACTGGAGTGGGGAGCCTGTCCCTTCTCCAGGGGATCTTCCTGACCCAGGGATCAAACCAGGGTCTCCTGTATTGCAGGCAGATCCTTTACCAGCTGAGCTACCAGGGAAGCCCATGGAATGCTCTACATTTTATTATATGTTAATGAAGACCTCAATGAAATCTTTTTAGTTAAAACTATCCTTGTTGCATGTAAGGCACACCTTGCTAACTAAGGAAACATCCAGAATATAGGGAAATGAAGGAAATGAAAGAATCCTGATTTGGTGCATCTCTTAGTGCTGGGCTTTGGTGAAAAAAAGGAAATCCCCATTTATTTTTTGTTTTAAAGTCTGACGTAGCGACATTTAGTTTAAAATGCAATTTATAGTCTATAGATACAATATCCAGTGAATTCTAAATACTATATGTGAAACTCTTCCATGAAGAAGATGCTGTCCCCAAAGCAACTTTAGGAGGAATGTGTAGTGCAATCAGCACTGCTCAAAGCAATAACAAGTCAGAGAACTTTGGTCCCTGGAAACCATTCCCATAATAATAGGTGACAATACTCAGCCCCTAGTCCGTAGCAAGGGCTGGTGTTAAGCCCCTGGCAGGTGCCCAACCACAAATGGGGGCTGCATGAATGGATATGGGGAACCTCTACAACAAAGGAGCGAAGACCAATGCCCCTCCTGACAGACCTACAGCTTCAGGACAGACCTACAGCTTCAGGGCAGAAGGGCTTTGGGAATCAGGGTTTCGATGAACAATGTTCTGGACTCAGAAGGAGCAACTGAAGAGGCGTTGTTGACGGATGTTGCTGAGGCCAGGCAGCTATAAGAGGAGAGGGTCTTCTGATTGCGTGGTGGAGCTCTGTTTAACATCACTTCCTGTTAGTACTATCCTCCTTTTCAGTTACTTCAGGTTTATTCTGAAATAATCAAAGAACAGGTTTTCCTAGAGTTATTTTTTATTATGAGCTCCTTCTTTCCTGTCATTATCTTCCCTCCTTTTGATTTGCTTTAGATTTATTCTGAAATAACTTAAGATCCCATCCTCCTAAAGTAGTTTTTCCTGGTAATGACCCTATCCTTAAAGGCCAACTTGTCCTTTTTTTATTTACCACTCTTACTGAGTTGAAGATGGTGTTGTTGGTTTTCTTTAAAGATGCAACAGCAGCAGATGGTATAAACCTCCTCTTAAGGTATAAACCTACTCTGAGTATAGCCTCCACCTGAGACCTGTGCTTGACATGATTGCTTCAGTCATGTAGAAGATGTGGTGTTGGCCAGTTAGTCCTAGAATTTGCTCTAAAAACCTGGCACTTTTTCCAAGCAACAATATAGAAGGCTCTGTATGTCATGCACACTCAACAGGTTATGCAGCCCATATGTCTGCCATGAGTTCATCCCCCTACAAAATCTAAGAATAGGAAATGGAGCCGATTTGTGGAAAGAGCAAGGATACCCTTGTCCTTGATGACGCTGGTCACCTTTCTGAGAATCAACCCTCCTTCCATCAGGTTTACCAGGACATAATGTTTTCTGCCACCTCTTAGAAGCTATTGGTTTCTGACATAGTAAGTCTGCTGGCACAGTAAATAGAAGTGTTTCTTACTACCAATGGAGTCTTACTACCTGATGGAATCAGAAGCTTTCCTTCCATCTGTTCAGGATTATTAACAACCAAGTGAAAACTGAGACATATTCCCCTGGCAATACCTTCCATACAGTCTAGTGGTTATTAACCTCTCCAAGCTCTACTCCTACCTTTGGGGCATTTACGGGGTATATTGGTCATGAATCCCTGGAGAACTCTTCCCTAAGACATCTGTTCTTAAAATTGTCACACGTGCAACTCTGGACACTTTTGTTCAGTGTTATTCTAATAGTATTGAGCACATGCTATATTGAAAAAAAAAAGAGTATTATAGTCAGGAGACCAGGGTTCCAACCCCATCGTTAGTGTTAGTAGAGATGTGATATTAAGCAATCATTTAATATTGCTGTAAAACTAAGAAAATACTAGTACCAAACACAAAGTTGCTCTGTTTCAAATGAGACTAGAACGTGTAGATTCACTTCATCAAATACTAGATAGCTGTGACTGCCACTGTTATTACTTATTTGACCACAAGC